TGATCTTCTATAATCTTCTAACTCTCCTGTCATACCAATAAAGTTAACTTTCTAAATTTTTGATGCTTTTCTTTAATTTATCTCTTATACTCTTTGTGGGCCAACCTATTTTTTTACTTGCGATTACCCTTTTCTTTCTATAAGGAATATGTTTACCTTGAATACTTATAAAATTATCTTTAAAAATTGTCCACATCTGATTAGTGTCTCCAAATAACTCAGCTGCTCAATTCACAACAACAGATAATTCTCGTTGAATCCCTTCAAAGATTACTTTTCGAAATTTGTAACCAAAACATCATTATTCCTTATTTTCATATGCAGCAGAACATTGAACCTAATAGAGCAATGATCACTTGCACCCAGATGTTCCCCAATTTCCATCCTCTTGATCATTTTATATGTGAAGTTAACAACAAATCTAAAATAGCATTGTTTCTAGTAGGTTTCTTGACTAATTGGTGAAGAAAACCATTTTGAACAGTTTCAGAAAACCTCTCTCCCTCACGGTTTGACTCCAGCATTTCCCAATCTATATGCCTGAAATTAAAATCACCCATAATTATGACTTCATTAACAGCTGAAATCTCATTATATAGTTTCTCACTAGTTTAATCAGTATCATTTGGTGGTCTGTAACAAATTCTCACTAAAAGCTTTACCCCTTTATATCCACTAATATAAACCAAAGTGGATTCAATCTCCTTGCTATTATCTTTGGTATCCTCAACTTCAACAGGATCTAACTCACATTTTGCATATAAAGCTACTCCTCCTCCCTCTTTAGTAAACTATCCTTATCAAATAGCCTGTAACCCTGTATTTCAAAGAAATTTCTGTCATCAAAATCATCTGCGTTTAATCATGTTTCAGTTATTTCCATGATATCAAAATTCTCCATTCCTACCAGTGCTCTAAAGTCATCTGTTTTATTTCTTATACTTCTAGCATTACAATAGTAACAATTAAGCCTACACTTATAACTACTTCTATACTCATTTCCTATGCTAAACATTTCTCTGCCTTTTATTCTTTTTTGCATTTAGTTTTTCCTGGTCCTCATCACTGTCTAGTCCTAGTTTAAAACTTCCCTTACATCTGAGTTAATAGCCTTAGAAAACAAGCCAGACCCTACTCTATTTAAATGCAAACCATCCATTCCACTGAACTGATCCCACAAGTCCAACCAGCCAATTTGCTCATCCTCACATACTAACCTAAGCCTATCATTTAGCCCTACTTATAACTTCATCCCCACAATTAATTCTGGGCAGAATCCCTGACAAAATTAAGTTATGGCCTTTTTCTTTAAATACCTTTATCAACCCCTTGTAATTAGCTCCTCTGATCTACATTTCCCTATATCATTAGCCCCTACATGCACCACAAACACTGCATCTCTGCTTGCCCCGTTTATTATATCTCCTGCTCTGTCAGTTATATCCTCCACCCGTGCCCCTAGGTAGCATAATCTGATTCTTTTCACTCTATTTACCCCACAGACTATTCTATCCACATGCCTTATCAAGGAATCACCTATAACTATAACCTCCTTATCATCCACATCCTTCTATGACCCTTTTGTTTTCCTTCCCTCTAATAGCTGAAACCTGTTGCTCAACAGAATGGGCTCATAATAACTAAATTCACTACTTTTTACTGTAATAGTATTCTTTCTAACTTCCTGAAAGTCATTGTTAGCTGATGTATCCCTTGCATGTAAAAGCTTAAGCTCCTCTTCAAATTCTTCTGCCATTTCCCACAGTCTATACTTGTCTTTATCTATTGCCTCTACTTTAATCATAATTGCCTCTATCTTCTCATCCAACTTATAAACTCTGCATAAAAATTGCACATCTTCGTTACCAGCTTCCTTAAAAGTACATTCCAGTCCCGAGCTCCAAAATAAAACCCACTCATTGCACCCATTACACCTAACAAACTGTGAATGCTTAATTCCTACACTAGTCTTAACCATTGTATTTATACTTATAGACTAAAAATAAATACTCAATACCAAATACCAGTAGTCTATTGTTAACACTGTTACTATGAAGCCTAACTTTTAAGAATCAATTATGTCTTTTTTTTATCACTACTTTGTATTCACACTAAAGTAATAAAGCGTATCTTTAATTATATAGAACTTAATAATTTTTAGAACAATATATGTAACGTTAATAATAAAATGTATTTAGCCTGATTTATATTATAACCTACATATATCTATAAGTTGAATTTAAACTATTGGATCTAAGTTCAAGTAAACAAGTTAATCCTTAAAACACCAAGAGACAATAAACTAGTTTTTAGATTGCAATTATTTAATAAAACAATGTATTTATCCTGTTTTGCGATTTACCAGTAAGTTGAAATATACCTAGGCCTAAAGTACAGTTACACGTACTAAGCCTATTTTCACATTGTAGTAATAATTTACACCCCTAAACTCTAACTTAAACCTTTGACCGTCTTACTTTTATTTACCAATCTTATTATATCTAGTTATTATTTTGTTATTTAACCCAAATACTACAAATTATAAAAATAATATCAAATAGCTTTCAGAAATCTATAACTTGAGTATAAGAGCTTAACTTTTCAACGTCCTCCGTCCCCTGTAATTAAGGCAATATGAATTCTACAATTACATGTATTTTATGACTAAATAAACTCTATCACAATATGACCAAATTATCATCAACTCTAGAAACCAATGTTCCTTAGCTAAATTTGCCAGACGACCTTTGGTCACTGCGACCCCCCATCATCTCTACAAGGATGAAACAATTCTTGATGTTTCTTGACACAGTTCATCGTAGTTCATAACAAAGGTGATATGTGCACCTTTCAGACTCCAAAGAAAAATGTTGACTCAAAGCAGACAACTCATGATGACCCTAGAAACCTGCTTGTGACCCACCATTTAAAAAACACTGCTATAAACTATTTCACTGAGCTAAAACATCAGCTTTTTTTCAACAATAAAATAGGTACAATTTAAGTGTAATGCAACAATAATAATAACAATACCTTTAAATTTAATAAAGTAAAGCTAATTATTAAATCTAATATTTCCATTTTAAGAAATGTTTTTACTCTTCTTCTTTGCTATCATGGCCACGATCACAGGTTGCTACAGATACATATCAGGCACTCATAAATTGTTAGGGTGGTTAGTTTTTCAAAACTTCTTAAAACTAACAATACTCTTTTATTATATAAAATAAAAAAACTCACTTTAAAGGCATATTTTCTTGTTATTCTATCATCAGCAGAGCAAGGTGAAATTCTATAACTGGGCAGAATGACAGACCCAAGAAGTCTGTCTTCTTCAGGATCTAATAAAACATAAACATATTGCTTAATAAGAGCTACACAGTAAAACATAAGTTTCAGTGAACAACCAATATAAATATGCAGATTCAGTCTTTAAAATCTAAAAACATTATTACAGTAAGCCTGTCTACAAAAATATGCCAACAAATTATAACATTTTGAGATTTGAAGGTTCTTTCTAATATTGTATTACAAAAGTAAGAACAAATAATCTCAGTTAAACATTTCATTTACTAAATATAACTGAAACTAAGTATAGCATAATTGTTTACCATTTACGTAAACAATTCCTTATGGATCTGAGAAGAAAATATTTAATTCTATAATCAGTAGATTATAATACAGTAGAATATTTAACATGTTTTTCACACTTTACCATGAACAGTTCCAATTTTACAGGAATGTGTTTTTAAAAGTAATTAAACAGCAAACAGCAGTGACATACATATGATGTAGGAATCTTTTCATACAGTCTAACTCATAAAAAGAGAGAGAACAGATGGATATCATAAAAACCACAAACTTCAATACACAAAGTTCACATTTTCTTTCACAACATTATCAACAGGTGAAGTTTAGAATCCTAGGATAAATCACACTTTCAAAAAACAGTGAAACTTAAAAAACACAGCTAATCTATTATTTCTTGAAATAAGATGCCAAAATTGAAGTTACTTTTTCTTGGAATACATGGCTATTTAAATAGATATTTCTGAAGTACTGTTTCTTGGATCTGAAGCTATTTCTTGAAATACAAATAACCAGTTGTTTTTTTTTAACCTTATGTTTAAACAAGCTCACCTTTATAGAAGAACAAGCAGTAGTCACTTAAGACAAACCATCTTTTCCTCCACTGTCTCAATGGTCCTCCCTCAAGCCTAAAAACCCACCCCTTTAATGTAACTTGGGCTTGATTGTCTCGCTGTATATTTGGTGGCCTAAAATAAAATCAGTAGCTTTATATAATGTATATATATAATATTAGTTTTATTTTTGAGTATATTAATGTCAAAAAAACAAAACTTGTTAAAAGCATAAACTTATGTTAGAAAACTGCATAACTATAACTTGTGGTTAAGTGTATAAAATACTCAATCACTATAATATACACTTCTCACAATCCACACAAACAAGACTATTACAGTAACATACCCACTCTTCTGGTTTGTGTATAACTTATGTTAGAAAACTGCATAACTATAACTTGTGGTTAAGTGTATAAAATACTCAATCACTATAATATACACTTCTCACAATCCACACAAACAAGACTATTACAGTAACATACCCACTCTTCTGGTTTGTGTATAACTTATGTTAGAAAACTGCATAACTATAACTTGTGGTTAAGTGTATAAAATACTCAATCACTATAATATACACTTCTCACAATCCACACAAACAAGACTATTACAACAACATACCCACTTTTCTGGTTTGTGTATAACTGGAACAAAAATGTATGTTTACATTGAAACTGACAGATTTTTTAAGCAATCCAGATTGCCTTAATTACATTGTAAACAAGTAAACCAAAAACCTTGGAGATCATTTTAATTGACAGAGCAAATAAGCACAGAACAAATTCAAACTAGAAATTAAGTCTGGAATTTGTTTTTTATAGAAGCAAAATTGGAGACTTTCCAATGCAAATCTTTTATCATCCAAACTTAGAAAATTAGCTACATTATAAATTGCTTACATACATTTCAGAATACTTATAATATTGAACATACACTTAAAGAATGTCTATTTTTAACATTAAATGTTACACATATAATATGAAATTGCAAGAGAAATTATTTGAATCACTACAGATAAAGCTCATTAAGGCTATGACTGTGTTCAGAGGTTCATTCGGTAGTGAGGAATTCAAAGATAGTTCTAAACACTCAACAGTTCATCAGGCAGCATTCAAGCAGTGTCTCTTTTTTTTCTTTCTTGTTTATAAAAACCATTTGACAATGTTTGAAAAACAATCATTCATTAAATGTCACTGACATAAAAAATTCAATATTTTGATCTGTATAATGTCCATTACTTAAGGATAGTTGTATTAACGAAAAACACACACCACTAAGAAACACATAACATTTCCTTCAGTGCACTGGATCAGACAATTATGGTGAAGTGTGGGGGTATATCTAGTGACTACATTGCTTCAATAAAATGTACTTTATGCCTAATACATAATGTTGTTAAAATAATCTGACTGATAATAATTCTCTCACTTGTGACTTTCAATTATAGTTGAAGGTCTTTATTTATTCAAACTGTTATTGTTTCTCTGTTCTGTTTTGCTGTCTATTTATCATTATGTTTATTAAGTATCTTTAATTAATTAACAATTTTAAGTTAAAAAGACTAGGACTGTTAACCTGCTTGAAAGGGTAAATGTTACATACATTTGTTTTTCTCAAGTCAGCTGGAATTCTTTTATTTGGCCACAAAAGGATGTTCTTGCAATGCAAATTACTGTATGTAGCTGTATGGGTATTGCACAAAGTACATGTACATAAACAATGTGCATACTTTATTTTTATTTTAAATATAAAAGCATGATTACTCTTACATATAACATATTCTTAAATACAAGTGAATGTTTTATTTCATTTATATGGATTACCTGTAAAATGAAAAGGTATTTTTCAATCACATATAAACTACTAGTTATGGTGAAATCATCAGTAAATTATGAATATTAGTATTACCAAAGTTTCAAATCTTACTCTAGTAACATGTTTGGAATCTTCAAAGATCAAAATATAACCTTCATTATAGCCCTAATTAAGGTTGAATATTTGTTTTCATAGATAATATTAATTCAAATATATAAACTGATAACTAAAGTCATCTAAAAACTAAATGCCCTATGAATAAACAACACATGCATTATTATTATTTTCCACATCCTAATCCTCTGATCTCTTGCACTCTCAGTTTCATATTGATAACTTTACTTATGCACTGAAGGAAAAAGAATAAGAATGAAGGGCAATACAATGGAATTATTTTGCCTTAAATTTGATTATTAAAATTCAATCTGAAACCTATTATTACAGAAATTAGAATAACAAACTAAGAGATATAAAAGGACAAAAGTACTGAGTGACAAAAAGGAAACCTTCATCAGAATATCATTACAGAGGAATGAAACATATTCCTACAAAACAAAAACCTTCTAGCCAAAATGAGCGAGTACAAGCTTTCAACTGAAACTAAAACACAGCTGCTCCTAGTCTTCAACATCAACCATACAACGTTAACATATTTTACTATAATAAGGGTACAGAAAGTAATATACAGTGAGCAGAGCTCACTAGCAGAGGTTGAATGATTATCAATATATCAAGACTACAATAAAATAACCATGAAAATCATCCTTCTTTAGTTCTAGTGGATCAGAATTTCCGTACTATTATACATCTACAGAAGAAAGAACTTCCAATGAATAAATCCTGATTTGCAGGAGTACACTCTCTCTTAATCTACAGTAAAATAACATGCTATGAAAAAAAAAATGTCCAACAGTCAGATTACACCAGGCCAATTCTATAAGAGCTAAGAATCACTAATGAAAGTAGATAATTTTCACAGTTTTACAGAGGGTTGATTATATTATATTAAAAATAATTTTAATATGCAAATAACAAAGTTATTGATAACTACAGCCAATATAAACTCACAATAGAATGGCATGTATCAGCACAGCATTTTGACAGGGAGTAACAGTGTACTTTGGAAATGACAACCTTACAACTGAGCCTTTTACAATGGCAACTATACTAGAGGGTTATTTAAGATGTACATCCATCAGATAGAGCATGATCAGAAGTAGTTACATGAACTATAACAACATGGTGAGATTCCAAAATTTTTTTGATATAAGGTACTCAACCTCTTTAATAGTAGTATACAAGCTCATATAAAGACTAAACAACAAACTATATTTTTACAGCATCACTTTTAGTGAAATACACATAATGAACACACACACACAAGCTAACAACAAGCATACCTTTTGTAATATCCTATGTATAACACACATACACTAAGAATAATTCACTTATTCTTACATTATAAACCCTTTATTCTTGAACACAAACTCTTTAAATTACTTATACAATTTCTTAACCCCATTAACTCTGTCCTAATTAGCTATTTGGTATTTGTTTTTGCATTTTTATGTCCAAGCATCTCAATATTTTTTCCTACTTTCTGTTCATTTCCTTTCACAATGTCCTAATAATTATCCCTGTATCTTATCAAATTTCCAGTCTATTTATAAAAAATGGGTAATAACATGGAATGAATTAGTTTCAGCCAAAGGGCATAAATTTTATTGGATGCTGTCACAATCCGATGGGTAAATCGGGATTTTCGGCAGAATGCTGGCAGTGTCCACACGGGTTTGAGGAGTTAAAGATTCTCCATGTGGCCACATAATAAATTTGTCATCAGTATTCCTCTTATAAAATGACTGGGAAAAGATTGTGGTTGAAAGTGATAATTTTTCAAAATTTTCTATCTAAATATTTGCAAAGATGGAAGAAATCAGTGAGTCCTTTGCTAAACCTTCTAGTTGTTTAAAGAAACAGTCTTGTATTTGAAGTCAGTGGTCTATATGCAACAAGTTCCATAAGGGTGTCTTCATTCAGATCACTACAGTTGGTAAGTATGGTGTTATTAAGCAAATTCTTTGTGGTCAAAGGGAAAGTTTTGTTGACTGGGATCTTGGAAAAAAAAGAGGAGATCACTGATGTCTAAACTTACAAGGAGGTCATTGATTGATATGTACATTCTGAAGAAACTGGACTAAGTTCTGAAGTGACCCTTATGTGGGGATGGAATGGAAACCAAAAACTTTGAAATCTTGTGAGAAAGTGAGTCAATCACACTAACTATTGGCCAAAGAGGAAAATCAGACTTATGGATTTTTGACTGACCACCTGACTCTAACTTTGGCATTGTTTTAAGAGATAAAGGGTTTCTTTAGAAATTTGTTAATTTTGTGGTTAATTATATGTTCTATTTGTCTGTAAGGGCCTTGAAGAACTTCTTTGCATTTGCTATTTTTGAGAGTATGATAGATTCTAGTATGGTAATCTCTTGTGTTGTTTTCCTAGTTGGCAAATAATATCTTGGGTCTCATTTCAGGTTAATAATGACTTTCCTTTTTCCTGTAGTGTTAAGGTTTATTTAGTTGTCTACATTATGAAAAAGTACCATCTTTAAACTGTTCTGCAACAGTTTTGGGAAGACTGTGCTGCTGGCTCTAGATTCATGGCAAATGTATTATCTCTGATTTTCTAAGATTCTGTTTGAATTTCCTTTGTTACTTCTTTTCCTTCTAACCATCCATTAAGCCTTCTTGTCAACATTCTAATCACTAACTTATGTTGCATTTAGTAACATCACTGTATACTTTTTGCCCCTGCTTCGATTCACTTCCCAATTTACAATTTGAGTATTTGCCCATCTCCATTTCTTTGCACACTTGTCTCCTATATATTTTTCATCGTTGTCAATATTTTGATTTTCATTTATTTTATTAAATCCTTATAAAATTCAATCTCCCCATCTCATAGTGAGTGGTTTCCTTTGGCAAATTTTTAAATGCTTTTCAAATTTCTCTTCTGTCTGCCAAATATACAGTTTTCCTACATTATTCCTCTTACAATTTAACTCTCTCTTCTCCAGCTTTTAAAGTGTTCGCTACTATTTTAAATAATTACTTTTTGAACATCCTCCTTCCTCTTTCCCTTGAAGATATTCAGCACTTCCAAAACTCCTTGTTTTATTATTTTTTACTTCTTCCCAAACTTTCTTTTCTCTGTTATTTTTTATATCTTTTGATATAATTTCTGCAATTCCTTTCTTCTCTTAATATAATCTTTTCGTTCCTTATTCCCCAGTTCTTTGATATTTTTTCAGTGCTTACTTACTTCTCTATTTTGCTCTCTAAATTATCAATCAAAACAATCAATTCCTCTTCTCCTTTGACCCTAATCCTCTCTTCCCCAACTTTCCAAACCATAGTAATCTTCTCTAAACTTTACTTCTGGTATTTATTTTTATCTATCGTCACTTCTTTCCAAATCATTTTCTCTTGTGTACCAAACACTTTTTCTATGTCTCCCCTTCAATTCCAAGTTATATTTTCTGACTTTACTTCTTCCACTCTCCTCTGCCATCAGTAAACAAACAAATCAGTTTACAACAATCCCATTAACCTTAACAACACTTTCTTCTTCTAACTCTCTCCCTCTTTTCTTATCAAAAAAATTCTCTACATAATCATCAGTATCTTCTCTAAATATTTCAGTCCACATCATAATTTCAAATAAAGATTTACTGTGTTTTTATCACTTTCTAACAAAAATCTTGTTTAACAATGTCTAACTCCATCATTATCATATAGCTTCCCCACTCATACACACAGAAGATTTAAACAACGTGATATTTTTTATTGTCATTAATACAATGAACACAAACACTAACAAGAACTATACTGCTGTATGATACAATATATTTTCAAGTTGAAGGATTATCTTATGCAACATATAGGCTAAGTGGCCAGGTCAGATATCTCAAGATTCAGGGATAGCCATCTCCAATTTAGAACTGCTAATCAGTTGCAGAACTCATCAAACTATTAACCAAACAGTATAAACAGCTAAAAATTCAGTATGTTCAACTGTCTTCCAATCCAAACAACAGTACATTGATCACTATAAAAACCCAACAGAGAATTACATTCCACATAATTTTTTTAGTGTGATATCTACATAATGAACACACATGGAAAAAGAATAATTATATCACACATAATTTCCTTAGTGTGATATCTACATAATGAACACACATGAAAAAAATAATTATATCACACATAACTTCCTTAGAATGATACAAATAATGAGCCAATAAATACGTTATATCTCGTACTAGCTGTAGTATCCGTCCCCTAATGGAAGTTATATAAATTCATGATTAATGAAAGGTTATCTTAGGACATGGAAAGTTGCTTCCCTTATATGTAATTGTAAAA